CTTGTTTCATGCTTATAATCATTTTAATGAAAGGTTTCTTTCAAATTACTTTCTTTCTTTTTACAGAGAGAGAAAGATGGAATGAGAGAGGGATAGGCTTCTTTGACAGGGTCTCACTATTGAGTAACACTACTCTCTCCCTCTACCTTACAGGCAACCAGGATCACACACTCAGGGTAACCTTGGGTCTGAACCCTAACCCTTTCCCACATGGCTCCAACATCATGCAGTGCCTCCCTACTACTCGTTTCACCATGGCTGGGCCTAAACTTTATTTTAATATAGAGAATCAAAGTAGCTACTAATTACTGATGTGAGGAGCAAAGGTCCCTCTTCTGAAGTACTCTCATTGTATCTAGTTTATTCAGAGAATTTAACATAGAACTGATCCTAATGCCCTAATGAAAATATATTTTGAAAAGGGGTCATGAATTAGTTGTGTGATGTTTAATTAAGTGTAACATAATGGAGGGCCAGTGGGCAGTGCTGTGGTAAAACTACACTCTGCAAGGCTGACCTACATGGAGGATTCTAGGTTTGTGTCTGAAGACCTCCCTGAGCATGCTGAGCACATATGTGCCCATGATTGGGAGTGACTGAAGTTAGGGGTAGATTGCAACATGGGGTGGGACACTGTTTCATTCTCTCTCTTTATATCTTACCTATGGAAGAAATAAACTAATAAGTAATAAGAAATTTAATATAAGTGTAGATTTTAGAATAAAATAGTTGGTGGCCAAATATAAGTTGATTTTTCTTTAATTCATTTTTAATCTGCTAGAGGGCACATGTGTTTCCTGAGAGGAGAGAGGAAGAGAGAGAAAGGGAAAGTGAGAAATCACCTCCCATGGGGGCTAGCTTTGCTGCAGTCCCTTCTCCATCTCTCTCTCCTTTTGAGATTATGGGCGTGTATGCACACATGCCAAACATGTTTTTGAACTGCATAGTTGGCCATGTGGGATCCAGCTGCCTTAACATCATGTCACTGGCTGGTCCCTATAACTTGGATTTTCCACAACTCTTATTTCATTGTATAAGAAATCTGTTGTCAGCCTATTAAGACCTAAAATTTAGATCTAGATATTTATTTCTATGATCATTTGTTGTCTGTACCATATTTTACTTGCATAATAGAATACTCTCAACTACTTTAGTTTATATATAACTTGAAAATGTTCAAGGGTTGAATAATTAATTTCATCCTTAAAAAGTACTCATTGGGGACCAGCAGTTAGTGTAATGGCAAGTATTATTGAAGGGTTGGATGGTGGGACAGTGTTAAAATGGAACACCCTGAAAGGCTGATTCACATGAGAAGGTTTCAGGTTTGGGTCTGGAGCCTTCCTTAAGTATGCTAGGCATTTAAGTATGCTAGGCATGTGTGTTCTTTTTTTTTTTTTTTTTTCTTTTTTAGAGAAGTGTTTGTTTGTTTGTTTTTGCTATAGGGCACGTGCGCTCTCCAGAAAGACCAAGAGAGACAGAGAGACAGAAAGTGAGAAATCACACCTCAGGGTGCTGGCTACTCCGGAATCCTTTCTCCTCCATTCTCCTCTTGGAATCTTGGGCACGCATGCACAGGCACCCAACGTGAGTTTAAGTCACTGGGTCTGGGACTTGAACCACAGTTGACTACATGGAAGTCCAGTGACTTAGCCATTCTGCCATCTGCTGGTCCTGGCATGTGCATTCTTATGATGCAGGGATGGCTGAGGTTGTGGGTAGACTGTAGTGTCAAGGCTCTATTGAGGGTGCTCATGGAAGAAATGAATAAGTAAACTTGAAAAACAGTACGTGGGCCTGCCCCATAGCTTATGGTTAAGGGCCTGGGTCCCACATGGCCGACCATGGTTTGAATCCTGGCTCCAGTTGCTTGAAAAAACATACTGGGCACATGCAAATATGTCCCCAAAATACCAACAGGATGGAGAAATGGAAGATAAGGGATTGCTGTGTGACCATGCCCCAATGGGGTGTTTGCTCTCTTTCTTTTTAAAATAATTATTTCTTCTTCTTATTTTTTTTTTTTATCTTGCTACAGGGCACGTGCGTTCAACCAGAGAGAGGCAGAGAGAGAGGGAGGGAAAGAAAGCCACCAGGTCCAGGACTCCAACCACTGTCAGCCATGTGGGAGGGTCCTGTACCTGAACTACATACCACCTGCTGGCCTCTCTCTCTCTTTCTCAGACAAGTGCATATGTCCTCTGGCAATTCAAAATAAAAAACTTATTGAGCACTCTGAAGGATATAAAAAAGATACAAGACATTGCCCTCAGAGCTTTCTTCTGTCTTCCTAGAGGCATTCAAAGCCATAAGGATCCAAATACCTGAAGGCAGGTGAAGGCGGCAAAGGGTAGCTGTGCTTTTTTCTTTTTTCTTCCTTTTTTTTTTTTTAAGAATTATGTATTTTTTATTATTTTCCCATTTTCACCAGAGATAGACAGAAAGAGAAGAGAAAGATGGAGAGCAAGCTGCCAGGTCCAGGACTTGAACTGCACTTAGCCATGTGGGAGTCCAGTGCCCCAAACCACCATGCTACCTGCTGGCCCCTCTATTTTTTTTTTCTTTTTTTAGAGAGGTTTTTGTGCTAGGGCGCGTGCACTCACCAGAAAGACAGAGACAGAGACAGAAAGTGAGAAGTCACCCCCAAGAGGGGATGGTCACACCACAACCCCTTCTCCTCCATTCTCCACTCGGGATCTTGGGCACGCACACACACGTGCCCGGCGTGAGTTTAAGCCACCGGGTCCGGCACTGAAACTGTGGTCGACTACATGGGAGTCCAGCGACATAGCCATTACGCTAACTGCTAGTCCCTAATTTTTTTTTTTTTAAAGGGAGGTTTGTTTTTGTTTTTGTTTTTGTTTTGCTATAGGGTGCATGCACTCACTAGAGACACAGAGACAGAAAGTGAGAAATCACCCCCCTCCCAGGGGGATGGCCAAGCCACAGTCCCTTCCCCTCCGAGGGGGAGGCCCAAGCCACAGTCCCTTCTCCTCCATTCTCTTCTTGGGATTTTGGGCACGCACTCACATGAATTGGGCGTGCGTTTTAAGCTGCTGAGAACAGGACTCAAACTGTGCTTGACTACATGGGAATCCAGTGATGTAACTATTCCACTATCTGCTGGTACCAGTAGTTGTGCTTTTAAAGAAGACAGGATCCTTTGTCTTTAAGATAGGAGAAAGGAATCAAAGATAACTGCAAATTTAAGAGAAAATTTGATACCAAGATAGAATAAGTCAGAACAGTTTATATATAATGTAGTTAATCTTAGAAAAGAAGAGAAGACATCTTCCTTTAAAAAGGGGCTAGGGGCCAGAATGTGGCTTGGTGGTTAAGGTGCTGGACTCCCTCATGGCTGACCATGGTTCAAGTCCCAGACCTAGCGACTTGTTTTCTCATTCTCTCTCTCTCTCTCTGCATCTTTCTTTCTGGTCAGAATAAACAATAATGAATAAAATTAAATAAACATTTAAAAAAAATAAAAGAAGAGTCTGAAGACATGAGCAAAATAAAAAGATTTGCTAAAAGTAGTATGAGAGGTTTATTTGTTTGTTTGTTTGTTTGTTTTTTTTTTCAAATTGCCAGAGGGCACATGCACTTGCTAGAGAGAGAAAGAAAAAGCAATTCTTTAATGGGGCATGGTCATGCTGCAGTCTCTTCTCTTTTTCTCCACCTGTTGGGATTTTGAGCATGCACGCACATGTGTCATGCTTTGTGTATTTTTCAAGTCCCCTGGCCAGAATTTAAACTATTGTAGATCATGTGGGTCTTGGCTCTCTAAACCTCTAGACTGCAGGGGCAGCTCTGTATTACTTGATTTCTACTCAAAAGTAAAAATATTTCACTCTTCAGAGTGATCAGTCTTCTCAAACAAGTGATGTTTAATTATTAAATTGCATGAGCGGAGAAGTTTAACTCCTATTATGAACTAACTCCTTTGTTAGATACCATTTCAAGTAAGAGGGCTATTGAGCACAATTTAGAAGTCTGTTGGTTTTGAGAGATGTTTAATATAAATCACCTGCTAAATGAAATTAAAGCTAAGGACAAAAAAAAAAAAAAACTAAGCTTCATTGAGTATAGAAATTATTCTGAAAAACGGTTTTATGTTTGTTTTTTAAAATAATTTTTATTAAACTTTTACAGGCACTTGGAGGTCTTGTAATAGCTGCTGTTATTAAGTATGCAGATAATATTTTAAAAGGATTTGCAACTTCCTTATCCATAATATTATCAACACTGATATCCTATTTTTGGCTACAAGATTTTGTGCCAACCAGGTAAAATATTCTTTTTTGTTTACATCTCCAAAAGATTATAGAAAAATAAGAATTCTTCATATGGTGGTCTGGTAAATTTCATACTATTATAACTTTGGAAGAATTATTGAGATAGAAAAAATTAAACTATTTGTTTAAAAAAAATTCACACTAAATGTATGAAAGGAATGCTTCCACTGTAAATATTTTTATAAATATTTGGCTGTCCAGATCTTTCTAAGAAGATGGGACTATTTTCTCCCCAAAGCAAAAAGTAATATAAAATAGTTACTAAGTCATAGAAAGTCATACAATAGGCCTTTTTTTTTGGGGGGGGGGGAGGTTTGTTGTAGGGCATGTGCACTCGCCAGAAAGAGACAGAGAGACAGAAAACGAGAAATCACCCCCCCCCAGGGAGGGATGGCCACACCACAGTCCCTTCTCCTCCATTCTCCTCTCTGGATCTTGGGCACGCACACACACGTGCCTGGTGTGAGTTTAAGCCAACGGGTCCGGGAACCGTGTTCAACTACATGGGAGTCCAGCGACATAGCCATTACACCAACTGCTACTCCCATACAATAATGGGCTTTTTTTTTGGGGGGGGGGGGGGTTTGTTGAAGGGCATGTGCACTCGCCAGAAAGAGAGAGACAGAGAGACAGAAAACGAGAAATCACCCCCCCCAGGGAGGGATGGCCACACCACAGTCCCTTCTCCTCCATTCTCCTCTCTGGATCTTGGGCACGCACACACACGTGCCTGGTGTGAGTTTAAGCCAACGGGTCCGGGAACCGTGTTCAACTACATGGGAGTCCAGCGACATAGCCATTACACCAACTGCTACTCCCATACAATAAGTCTTTAATAGCATTGTTTTTAATGCAGTATTAACATTGCAAAAGCCGGGAGAATGGATGACATGCTTGAAGAGGTAGTTTATGCAGACCAGATGGTTCAGGAGCAAACTGAGTTAGTTGGTATCAGGAATAAAAGCAGTTCAGGAGTTGCAAGGAGTAATGGGCGAGGCAGGAGACCTAAGACTGTGTAGTGTTATAGATGCCAAAGAAAGACAGAACCAGGAAGAACTGAATGTAAGGGATACACATTATAGGTGGTACTAAAGGTAGTGTTATTTTTTTATAACTGTTAGTTTATAGTCACAAACTAATAGGGTTATATTTTAGTATCTTCCAGGATACCATTCTTGATTTTCCTCCAACTTCACTCCCATCCCGATTTTTTCTACCTCTAAACTTTGGAGGCACTTCAGTATCTTTTAATCTGTACTTATTCTCTTGGTCATTTCTGTTCTCATGGCTTTAAATATCATCTATATGCTAACAATTCTCATTTAAATTTGGATTCTAGCCTTACTTATTTATTTATTCAAGTGACATTTTCACTTATGTCTACTAGGTAACTTATTTCTATCCCTTGGCTGGGTTTTCCAATATAGTAAATGATAGCATCTTCATTCTTCCTGTTGTTTAGGCTACAAGTCTCTTTGACCTAAATAGGAAAACAGTTTACCACAGTAACCGAAGAGAAAGCATTATCTGTAGATAGGGATATAGACAGCTTTATGAGAGTGCGTTAAAAAATGTGTGCAAGTTTTTCGGGTTTTTTTTTTTTTTTTTTAAAGGCTAAGTTTCCATAAATCCTCCCCCACCTTTTTTTTTGGATTATTTAATTTAACCTCCTTTCCTTCCTTCCTTCCTGAGTGTATGGGGGAGAAAGAGAGAAAGTGAGAAAGCAAGCCACTAGGTCTGGGACTAGTCAGCTATGCAGGAGTCCAGCACCCTCAACCACCACACCACCTGTTGGCCCTATGTAAAAGGTTTTTGTGGGGCCGGCAGGTGGCGCGGTGGTTAAGGGTGTGCTGGACTCCCACATGACTGACTACGGTTCAAGTCCTGGACCTGGTGGCTTGCTTTCTCACTTTCACTTTCTCTCTCACTCAGTCCCTCTCTGGTCAAATAAGGAAGGAAGGAAGGAAGGAAGGAAGATTTAAAAGGTTTTTGCTTTAGTGCATGAGTTCTAAAGAGAAAGTTCACTCACCAGAGAAAGAGACAGAAAGAAGGAAAGTGAGAATCACCTCCCCAGGCCATGCTTCAGTTTCTTCTCTCGGGATTTTGGGCACACATGCACCCAGGTGATTTTTCAAGCCGCTGGATCCAGGGCCTGAACCACTGTTGCGTATGTGGGAGTCCGGTGCATTAACCATGACACTACTTGCTGGCCCTAAAGTTTTTTTATTTTCTAAGGGAAGTAAGTAAAGTCACAGTTTTTCTTTGTCTTTTTTTCACATGCCATTCTAATTTAGAAACACATCCTGTCAAATCTTCCTTTTAATATTTCCAGACTCTTACCATTTCTCACAACCTCCACTGCTACCATCCTGGTCCAAGCCACCCTCATTCTCATCTTGTCAGGAAAGAATTTTCTGATATGTCTCCTTCTGTCTTCTCTTGTCATACACCAACAATTTTGCCCTTTTAGCAACCAGAGTAGTTTCTCTTCTATCTTCTTGGAATTCCCATTCCGTACATAATCCCATGGCATTCTTCCTCAGGTCTTGGCTCATATGTCGCTTTATCAAGAGACCACCCTAAGTAGAAGAGCACTGTCTCCTATTCTAATCTTTCCTTTCTTCCTTCAGAATTATCAGCACCCAATAATTAAGTTGGGCTGGTGCTTGGCACACAAAGATAGTTGGCATAATAGTTTAATGACTGTGCCAGATCTTAGAATTTTAATAAAACTAGTAAAGTTGGGCCAGCCTCATAGCCTAGTGCTTACAGGAACCAGATTCCACATGTCTGGCCACAGTTCTAATCCCAGTTATGGTGGCTTAAAAAAAATATTCTGGGCACATGTGTGTGCCCTAAATTCTGACAGGATGGACAGATGGAGATGGGATTGCAGCATGGTTACTCCCCATTGTGGTGGTACTTTCTCCCTATCACTCTGTCTCTAGTGAACACATGGGCCCTCTGGCAATGAAAAAACAAAAAGCTAGTAAAATGAATTATGATAGAATTTCACAGAAGAAAATTAGAGTATACTCTTTATATTTATCTATTGACCATTTAAGGTTTTAATTCTTCTGTAGCAATGTGCACAATAGATCTGGGACATGCATGTTGAGATTGGTGATTTTTTTGTGATAAATTTAAAAGTATTTTTGTTTTCAGCTTCATGTGGGAATGAATTGCTGAACAATGAACAAACTTTCAAAAATAATTATTTAATTTTATTTATTATTATTTTTTAATTTGACTAGAGACAGAGAGGGAAAGTGACAAAACAAGCCACTAGTTCTGGGACTCGAATTGCAGTTGGCCATGTAGGAGTTTAGTGTCCAAATCACTATGCCACCTACCGGCACCACAATTAACGTATTTTAATGCTGGTTATTCTTTGTTTATTAGATAAGGGTATTATGTGATTTGATGTTAGCTGAGAATGTTTGGAACTTGTATATTTTTAGGGTATACTGAAAAAGGTTCACCTTCTTTAGAAAAAATTAAACTTTGGGTCAGCCTGAGACATGGGGCCTAAGGCAGCTGGATCCCACATTACCCACTGTGCTGTTTGAGTTACAGACCTGGTGAATAACACATTGAGTGTATGTACACACATGCCCAAAATCTCAAAAGGGGGGAGAAATGGAGGTGAAGGGATTGAGTGTGACCATCCACCATGATGAGGTGCTTTCTCACTTCTTCCTCTTCTCTGTCTGGTGAGCATACATGCCCTCTGGCAAATAAAAAAAATTATATGGGTGAAGGAATTATCTTTAAATTTTTAAATCTTGTATAGAATAAACAATAACTGAACTTAGAAGCCAATAGTTGGATGAAAAAGTAGTAACTTACCAATATGATTCATACCTTCATATAAATTTCATGAGTTTGTGTGTGTGTGTTTGAGAGGTTTTTGCTATAGGGCATGTGCACTTGCTGGAGAGACACAGAGAGACAGAAAGTGAGAAATCACCCCCCAGGGGAGATGGCCACACCACAATCCCTCCTCTTCCACCTCCTCTCGAGATCTTGGGCACACATGCATGTGTGCCTGGCATGAGTTTAAGCCACCCGATCTAGGACTCAAACCGTGGTCGACTACATGGGAGTTCAGCAACATAGCCATTATGCCAACTGCTTGCTGGTCCCCTGCAGAAGTTTTACAGCAGATCTAGAAGATCGTCCATACTCACTGGCATAAGCCCGACACAGACAGAGAGAGACAGAGAGACAGAAAGCAGGAAATCACCCCCTAGGGGGGATGGCCACGCCGCAATCCCTTCTCCTCCATTCTCCTCTCGGGATCTTGGGCATGCACGCACACGCGCCCGGCGTTGAGTTTAAGCCACCGGGTCTGAGACTCAAACCGTGGTTGACTACGTGGGAGTCCAGAGACATAGCCATTACGCTAACTGCTGGTCCCATAAATTTCATGTTTTTGAGGGGACATGTAACAACATATGTTGGGAAGAAGATAAGAAAAGACACAGTTACCATTATTATTGAATGAATGAACATGTATTTTGAGAATATACCCAGGACATCAATCAAGATGGAGAAAATTTATTGTTTTTCCTAAAATAGTTAGGAAAACCACTATCATTGTGCAGTCTCACTTTTGTGAAGAATGCATTTTAAGCAATAATTTCAGTGATGTTTTTTCTCTTTTTTTAAAGAATAATTTTATTTGTTATTATTATTATTATTATTATTACTTTGACCAGAGAGAGAGAGAAGGAAAATGAGAAAACAAGCCATCGGCGTCCAGGACTGAAACTGTAGTCAACCATATGGGAGTTCAGTGCCCCTAGCCACCACGCCACCTGCTGGTCCCTCCAGCGATCTTTTTTCAATCTTCATTCAACTGGTTTCAAATTTAATAATGTATTTGTCCTTGTTATTTCCTAATTTACTTTTTGAAACTGTTTTTCTAGCTTATCTGATGTGGTATACCCATACCTACATTTCTGATTATCTTTTAGGTAATCTTTTAGTTCTCATTCATTTCCATAGCTATCTCAACCACTGCCATGTCTGCCTGTTTTCTCGATGAAAATTGGGTCCAATTCCACCTAAACTCTGGGTCGCTACATTTTTTTGTTTTTTTATTTTTTTGTTTTTTTTTAAGAGAGATTTTTGCTATAGGGCATGTGCACTTGCTGGAGAGACACAGAGAGACAGAAAGTGAGAAATCACTCCCCAGGGGAGATGGCCACACTGAAATCCCTTCTCCTCTCAGGATTTTGGACATGCACGCACACATACATGGCATGAGCTAAAGGCCACCAGGTCTGGGACTCAAACTGGTCGGTCATATGGGAATCCAGTGACGTAAGCATTATGCCATCTGCTGGTCCCTGGGTTTCTAATTTCTACTGACTTCTAGAAATATCCACTAATACAGTATTTTCAGTACTCACTTTCCTAACTTATTTTTCTTGAGCTCATTTTTATATGTGTGTGTATTGGTATTACTATCCTTCCATTTAAGCTTGCATATTCTTTTATCAGAAATTTATTAAGTGTCTATTATGTACCTGCCAATCAATGTGCTAGCTCCTGGGGGAAAAAAGGAGTGTATAATGGGTTAGTTTCTCGTCTTTAAAGAGGTCACAGTGGATGGAGAGAAAGACACATGAATAAATTATAAGTGTATGATCAATGTGGCAATAAAAGCATATACATAATTCTTTTAGACAGAGGGGCGCAAATTCTTGAAATAATCATTAAATTCTGATAGTTTTTTCCTTACAAATTTTTTTTTTCTCTGAGAGCCATTTAAAATTGGCTGACTTAAGAAACAGGTGTTTCCTGACATTTTATAGAAGCGATTCTTATAATGGGGAGAAAGTTGGAGCAGACAACTTTTCAGTTAAGCATGAACTTCCTTTCTATACTATTCCCAAATTCAGAAAAGTTCAAAATAACTAATGGAGACAGTATTGAAAGAGAAGCTTATGTGCAGTCTAAATGATTACCAGATATTTTTATGGTAGTAATTTTTACAAGGTACAGAAGTATTACGTTATCTTAATCTTTATGTATAACTGCATGCAAAGCTTTTGAAAAGTTATCCTGTTAAAAGAGTAGCAAGTCAACACCAGCTTCATCAATAACTACCAACATTATTCGAAACATAATTATTGCACTCCCTATATATTGCTAGGCACTGGGGGGAGCAATGAATAAAGAACACCTGGTTGAGGAGGAGAACAGGTGTGTTAATAATGCATTACTTAATAACAGTGTGAGACATATTAGAAGAGGGCTGGCCTAGTGGTTAAGGGAGTCAGATCCCACATGGCTGACCAAGGTTTAAGTCCTGGTCCCAGAACATGCATGCCAACAGGACGGAGAAATTGAGAAGGGACTGCAGCATGTCTATGCCCTGTTAGGAACTGCTTTCTTCCTTTCCCTTTTTGTCTCTCTGGTGAGCTCATGTACCCTCTGGCAATTAACAACAACAAGAAAGTGTTATAAGAGAGTAACTCTGCCTAGGGAAGTGAGTCTTAGAGACATTAGACCTGAATTGTTATTAATCAGCATTTTCTTGGGAAAAAGGACTTTATAGATAGGGAATAGTATCTATTGAAGACCCTGTCATGAGAGAGCACTTTATGTTCACTGAGTGGAGTTGCCAAATTATAGGTAAGATGTGTTTAAAAAAAATGAGGTTGGAGGAGCCCATTAAATACTAAGGCTTATAATGTCATAGTAGGAATTATTATTATTGAATGTAGTGCATGCAAAATACATATTAAGGTAAAATATAGCATTTAAAACATCTTCATTTTTTGAGATAAAATAGTACAGTGGGTGAGAGTGCAGGCTGTAGTCAGACATACCTAGATTTGAATCTTGCCTTCCACTTAAAGTTATAGGACCTACAGTTATTTAATTATTTAATTTAACTTAATTAATTAATTTGTTTTAGGTTTTTGCCATAGGGTGCATGTACTTGCTTGAGAGAGACAAGAGGAAAAGTGAGAAAGCACCCTTCAGTGGGGAGGATGGCCATGCCGCAGTCCCTTTTTCTCCATTATCCTCTTGGGATTTTGGACATGCACACATGCACCTGGCTGGTGTGATTTCAAGCCTCTGGGTCCAGCGTTTGAACGGTGGTCAGCCATGTGGGAGTCCACTACCTTTACTGCTAGACCACCTGCTGGCCCAGCTTATTTAATTCCTTAAACCTGTTTTCTTATATGTAAGAGGAAAAAAAAGATGATATTAGTACTTCTTCATAAGGTTGTTGCGAGAGCTAACAGATACAATGCATGTAAAGCACTTAGATAAATACCCAGGATGTAATAAGTACTCAATATTATTAACTGTTATTGAAACAGTTTCCCCCCTAATTTTACTCATTGTTATAGTAAAGAAAGGAACTTGTTTTGCTTTTAACCTGATTTTCTCTCATTTTTCCTTCATCTTATTTAGTGTCTTTTTCCTTGGAGCCATCCTTGTAATAACAGCTACTTTCTTATACGGTTATGATCCCAAACCTGCAGGAAATCCCACCAAAGCATAGTCATGTACTGTCTTTAACTAGTTTTTCACGATGGTGCACTAGGATTCTCCGTACTGATCTTGCACAGAGGACTTCTACAGATTTTGTGAAGATATCATCATGCTGAATATGGTCATATTGTTCAAATGCTTTGAAAATATAGAAGTTTAAGAATAAAATACTTGTATATGTAACAAAACACATTACATACAGAAATCAGAGCTTGAAAGTATTTCTGGGGATTAATATTAGAAGGAATATTGGAGGAAACTTGAGATCTGAGTTAAAAAAAGTTTTACCTTTTCAGTTGCCACAGAAATGCCCTATGCACTCTTTACAAGAGCACACAATAAATGCCAGGTATCAATTTTTGCAAATTATATCTACTCAATCTTATTAAATGTTTCTGTCTTACTCTTTCTGTACATATGTAGCAAATCACATGGAATAGTTCAAGTTTGAAAATTATACTTTACCTGTAAAGCTGTAAAAAAAATAGAAGTATGATTTGAAAAAAACATTTTCACATATTTGAGATTTTTTTTATATATATACAAGAGATTATTAAACAGAATTGCTAAATGTTATTTGTCAACTACATAAAAATTGAAGTAATTTTCTGAGTCTGATTTGTCAAAATAAAGTTCATATTTAAGTAAAATGTAGAGATAAATGAAATTAATATTTAAAAATAATGGAACACATCTATTTCTCCACACCTATTTTAAGATCTTTTAGGGCTTCAAGACTGCAATGAGCACAGTTGCTCCTGTGATAGACAGGAGCCAGCAATATTTACACTAATGGAGTTTAGTCCTTAATCTCTTAACTGCATTTCTTTTCTGTAAATCAGATAAATCTTTAATATTACTTTAAGTTAAATTTGTGTGTGTGTGATTGCCATTAGAGTTTTAAAGTGTAATTTAAAGGGATTCGATATGAATTTAATAATTTTAAATAAAATTATTATTATGGTCTAGTGTCTCCATTTGGAGAATTTTTTGAACTACTAAGTACCTAGTGTATATACCTAGAAAGTTCTTAAATGAATATATTACTCATTGACCTGTAAAAAGTCCTTTAGTCTACAACTGTTGACAACTGTTGACAAAAACAACTAAAAAAAAGGGATACAGTTGTCAGTGAATTGAGACCAAAATGCTTTTCTTGGAGACATTCCAAATTGCCATATTTTATTATTTTAAATGGCACTATAACTTAACATTCAAGAAGAACTGCTCAAAAGTCCTTTTAGTTCTCTCCTACACCCTCTGTTCCCACGGAATACTCTGGTCACATGACTGGGAGAGGTAGCCAAATTCTGAGTTCCTTCTCTGTGTCTCCACAAAAGCTGCTGGGAAGAAACCACCATTTTTGTTTTGAAATAATGGGATGTTTTTCCTTTTTGATTAACACTGGAGTTGAGGATGCAAATTACATGAATTATTTAATAAGTTGGTTTAAGGGAGAAGATAATATTTTAGAAATGATATGGTGACTTGGTGGGCTATTGAGTATAAGAGATAATTTACTTTATTTTTTTTATTCATATTATATATGTTTTTAAAAGCCCATTCTAATACACACAAAAACTATAAAAAAATAAATATTTTTATATAGTTATAATGGATTTTGTTAAACAGCATTTGGCTCAAAATACCATGTTACAAATGTTGGATACTCTTGGCTAATTTGGACAGGCAGTATTAACTTGCTAATGCACATGTAGCCTATACAGATTACAGGCCTAATCAGTTCTATCTAGTGTTTTAAAGTGTTTAAACTTATTAAGTATTTAAAATTAATTTGCTGGTGATTCTAGATTGGTACCAAGCATACTTTGTGTATGCTAGACTTTATGATTTTAATATGCATCTTTAAAAGCATTTATTTAATAACTTTACCAATATTTTGAGCATGGTGTTTTAAATTATAACAGCATTCAGATTTACATCTTATTACCTACTGCTAAGTGAAATTTAAATCCTGCAAATGCACACAATACAAGATTAAATCTAAAGATTTATGATCATGTACACTGAAGTGTTGGTTAAGTGCTCGGGTATTAATGCAGTGTACATTCACGATTAATACTTAATTCAGATTTAGTTTGCCCCTATATCAGCACTTCAAAAAAGTATACAAGTAAATCATTGAATATTAGACATGTTAGTTGTGGTGATAACACATTTTCAGATGTCTAACAAAATTTCCAAGCTTAGTAATGAAGATTATGAAAATATAATCAAGAGTTGTGAAAATGGAAAAAAACAGCCTGAAATATATTTTAAAAGCAAACTTTTAATGGATAGGCGTGATTTATAAACATTTTGCTTTTCTAATAGGTTGAAAATGTTAGTTATTGGGGATTGGGCTATATAGTATATACTTTTTAATTAACTGAGAAATAATCACATTTGAAAAGGTATATTCATGTCCTAGATTATGTCATATATATAGATAATGCCATTTTCTTGTGTGTGTATATTTATGATGACCTCCAAAGGCCTTATTGTATCAAGCTTTTATCATGACTCCTTGATTATTTAAATTCTCATACTTTTAAAAGTTTGTTATCTCTTAACGTCTTTGCTAAATGTGAAAATGTGCTACTTCATGGAAGAAGAGTGTAGTTGATAGTTCTATTAAAAATTATGAATATAGTTGGGAAGAAAAGCTTGAAATGCAACAGGTATATTTCAGCACAGTAAAATCAGTTCTTTAACAAGAGATTTTAGAAAACTTATAAGCTACTTTTATGATGGAATATATAGTATAGAGATACAAAACTTAAATGTTTATATCAATTTATATTAAATGTCACAGAATTTCATAAAAGGAAAGGTAGTTTGATATTTAAACTACATTCTAAAAAGATGGAATCTGAAAGAAAACTAATTGACTTTGCTCTATACAGTTAGTATAATAATTACTGTTCTTACATATCAAATTATTGGGCTTTTAAAATGTCATTGTGTAGTCATTCAACTGAGTTTTTTTTTTTCTTTTTAAACAGAGTTTATCATTGCTCATTTTATTTACACATTCACTATTAGCATATTTAATTACCATGAATATATGCTTTACTTAAGAAAAGGTTTATAAAAGTTATTTATGCTATATGAAAATCATCTTAAGAATCTCCAGTATATTTAAAGTAGTTATAGGACCAAAGAAAAAGCACCTTTATCAAAACATGGTCCTGTGTGCCTTGCTTTACCAAATACCTGACTTTCGTGGAGGATAGTTCTGTAATTCAAAAACTCTAGACACATGAGTAAAGTTAGAATGTTTTAAGAATAATTGTAATTTTATTTTTTGTTTCAACATTTGCTCTTTAAATTCATTATCTAACAATTAAAATAGGCATATTATAAAAGGATTAGTAAATAGTACTTATTTAAAAACATTATGGCACCAGTGCTCCTCCTTAAGCTTTTTGAAACTTAACAACTGCATATAATTATTAATTTGTTGTTTCATTTCATATTATAAAATATAATTTACTGTGATTTTAAAAATATTTTTAATATGATTTGGATCCTGCATTAGACTATGTCTGTATTTTCTGTGTTTAGAAAGATTCTTTGAGATTTGGGAATGTGATTTGTATATTTAAATTTTTTATGAACATAATTCAAAGGAATGTGTAAACTGGTCTTTCGTTAAATAATTTTTTAATTGGTAAATTTCTCTTGTCATTTTTTTGGTATCCAGTTATTACTTGTTTAATAGATTTATTGAAATAGATTATTTTCATAAATAATTGTATAGATTTTTTTACCTTTATTTTCTTGTTTCTTTATTTACCTGTGACTATGACTTACCCCATGAATTAGTTCCCTGTCTACATGTTAAAAATGAAATTGGGTGTAGTGGAATATGCCTGTCATCCCAGCTATTTGGGAAGTTAAAGCAGGAGTCTGAGACCAGCTTTGGGCAACATTACATATTTAGAATGTCTCAAAAAAAAAATTGCTAATCTTTCCTTACTTCTCTTAATTACCTATCACCTATGGTCTACCTTTTCTCTAGTCTGTCCTCTACCATGAAAGACTTGGTTTCATTTAAATTTGATTTTTTTTTTTTTTAAGATTTTTGCTATAAGGCATGTGTGCTCACCAGAGAGACAGAAACAGACAGAAAGTGGGAAATCACTCTCCATGGGGGATGGCCATGCTACAGTCCCTTCTCTTTTCTCTTCTCAGGATTTTAGGCATGCACACACACATGCTTGGTGTGAGTTTTAAACTGCCAGGTCTGAGACTCATACCATGGTTGACTACATGCGAGTCCAGCCATGTAACTGTTACACTAGGTACTGGCCCCTAAATTTGAATTTTTCTACTAGTATAACAATAATAGCCTAAAAGTTTTTGTTTGAAATAAATTTTCTCTAACTTAAGGTTATGTAATTTCAGTAATTTGGTATATATATTCCTCATAATTTGAATAGAATTGCTTCTATTTTAACTATCAACTCAATGCATAGAGATTAAATGTAATAAACAATATAATGAGGTTTTATTCTCACTTGTACTGTTGGAGTAACCTTTACACAAAATGTATGGGTATCAGCATTATAAAAAAAAAAATGTGTGCTTTTCTGTTAACTTCTCATGAAAAGCACTAACTGAAAATCTTTGTTTCTTTTTCTATTATGCTTTTCTTTTTTTTTTTGGAGAGGTTTTTGCTATAGTGCGCGTGTGCTCGCCAGGCAGACAAAGACAGACATAGAGACAGAAAGCGAGAAATCACCCCCCAGAGGGGATAGTCACGCCGCAATCCTTTCTCCTCCATTCTCCTCTCGGGATCTTGGGCACGCACGCACACGTGCCGGCATGAGTTTTAAGCCACCGGGTCCAGGACATGAACCGCAGTCCACTACGTGGGAGTCCAGCGACATAGCCATTACCCTAAGTGCTGGTTCCCAGAATACTGCTTTTCTTAAATCTATGCCAGATTCTCAAATCTAAGTGTGATACAATTATATCTAATAATCCAAATCTTATAGATATTACTGCCTTTTCTTAAAAAAAAAAATTCTGTAGAGCACCTGTGCTCACTGGAGAGAAAAAGAGAGAGGATGGAAAGAGGGAAAAAGCACTTCCCAGGGGGGATGGTCATGCCATATTTTTCAGTAAAATACTCAAGGAGGACTTAAAGGACAGCAATATCTACATGTGCATTCTGATCTTTTAAAAATTTCTTCTACAGCCTAGAGGCTTGACTACATACAGATCCTTTATTAGAGCCAACCCATGGATGGCATGGTGGTTAAGGCAACTGGATTCCACCTGGCCATCTGCAAGGTTTGAATTCCAGAGTCAGCAATTTGGGGCATGTGTATGTGCGTGCGTGTGTGTGTGTGTGTGTGTGTGTGTGTATGCAAGCACATGCACCCAAAATCCCAAAAGGAGGAAACAACAGATGATCGTTCTATGGATAGTAGAGAAGGGATGTGAGTGATTTGTTCGGTTTGATAGACAAAAGAAGCCCC